ACAATACAAGTAGTTTACATTTATTTAGTCTGTATGCCTTTTCAAACTATATGGAGATAGCGTATTAATATTAAAATATTTGAGGGAAACATATGTTATTAGATTAAACTAAATATGCACTTGTATACAAATCCTTTACTCGTAAATAGCTACAGCACATAATAATAGCGTAAATACCCTAAATCTTACGACAGATTATTCACGCTTCTTTCCGCATTTTCATTTTTTTGAATATACATTTAGGTTATGAGTAGTCTCTAGTTAAAGAGTAGCCTAATTGACCTTGAGTTTATTATGGAACAATGGCTAATTTTAAAACGAAAATTGAAATATGATGTGGCTTTTCATACAAGGGAATCTCGAAATCAGATACACTTCTTGTCCACTACGAAACCTATATTTGTCCATTTAGTGGGTAAATCTGTAGTCTTAAGCTGTTCTGTTTGGAATACCATCAAAGTACAATAAAAATAATAATAGTTTTGTTATAGCTAGAAGACAATGTTATATTACATCAAATTGTAATGTCATAGATAAATAAACAAAACCGCATTAAACCATTTCTGGTAGACATAGAACCCGAGCCTCCTGAGTAGAAGAACCGTTGTGACTAATAAACAGACCGTTCCAAGGCCAACAACAGGATCAAGCATTCGGCAAAAGTATCAAATTAATTCATTATATAGTTCAAGTATACTGTATCACATTCTCTTGATATAACATCAAGATTAGACCTATGCTTAAATCATCTTAACCACTATCATATGTATATCAAGTTTCTAATTGAATTAAAATCCCAATAACACCGCATATACAATGTAAACAAGCACGTCCCGAAAACGCACCCTTGTGGCACTCCATAAGTGACTATCGCCTCTGCGCACTACGTGAGGTACGTCCCAGACGAGAGCGTTGTTGCACTCTAGTGTTGACTTTGACAGTTAGACTGCACCATAACATAGTGCGGTTTATATGACGTCACTGACATTAGCAGAAGCGTGTCTGGCGCGTCCAGTCTACTATACTGACCTGATCTTTCAGATAACGCAGGAATTCGATACCCACGTTGAACGAGTTGTTGACACCGAGCAAAAGTGTGAGGGATAAATTTTGCGGATATTTCTCGGTGTGTGTGTAAAATCTCGATTCAGTGCGTGAGGTCTGAGTTTGTTTCGGAATTTGCAATATATTTGGCACATTTAATATGGGGTTTAATGTTTTAACAAAGCTGTTTGTTGTTTCTTAAAAATACAAACAAATTAAATTAGATCTATATATTAATTAGGATCATACAAAAAAATATAACTGTATATTGGCTATTATGGGGTTATAAGTAGTTTGAACTAATTATGTCATATAAATCTAACAAATTTATTTCCAAATCTGAAGATTTTGTTCACTCGTGGATGTACCAGCAATTAGAGGTGTACTTTTTTTAATATTACACAAAAACCAAATTACTATTCACTTCCATTAAACAGCTCTAATTTATATCAGCAAAAATACTCAAAACACTTAAATAAATATTGTAACAATCAGCTTAAAATCTTTGACCTGGCATTTTATATTTTTCCAGAAAATAGAACTGACTTGAATTGATTGTTGGAAGTGTTATTTATGCATGCATGATTTCTCAATTTGTCTGCACTTAAAATACGCTGTACATGTATAATGATGGGTGGCGGAAGGCTGTACTTATGAAAACGAATAACATATGCAACGATAAGACTTTATGCCGGGGGCGGAGTGGGGAGTTTAATTTTCAGAGAGTGGAAGCTACGAGTCCTAGAAAACGTTATTTAGCTATAAGGTGATTATAATTTCCAATTAACAGCTACCACATTTAAACTATACTTATAGTTTTGGTACAAATACATCAAGAACAAATTAAATTAAATACAGATAATCTGATTTTTTTGTTTGATTTTCTATTCCAAAACAATTTTTTTTGGATGCAAGGATAACTCTCTTCCTGTTGAAAACTCATGAGCCATTTTCATAATCAAAGAATATTCTTGCCTAAGGGAGCTAATATCTGATTGTTTATATTATATTATTAGGGTAATATTTACAGTTTGTAATAGAATCTTCAATAATTGAAGAGAAACCTTAACTCGTACTTTTAACGTTAGTCTAATATTAAAGATTTAAGTGTACTTTTATGTTTTGGACAGAAAGTCCCTTAGAAATTTTTCAACTGACATAAATCATGAATATGAGAGAGTGTGTTAAACCATTGACTTTTGAATGGTCAGAGGTTAATCGCATGATTTAGTTTTTATATATGTATTATACATATTATTGTAATAAACCTTGTGAGGTACCTTTCTTGATTAATTTATTATACTACTACGTTCATAAAACCCATAAGACAGCTTAACATTTGTTATTTAAGTTATTCATTATATAACAGTACAGTGTGGTAAAAGTTTAAATGTAAAACAAATTTTAAGCTTTTAATAAACTATTTACGTTGGAATAGACCTACCTATTGGGTTTATACAACAAATATAGCCTAAATCTAACATGAGACCTCAAAAAGCTAAAAACACGAAAATTATATCTGATCCTGTAACAAAACGATCCAAAGCTTAAGTGACATTTAAACTTAATATCCTCTTAAGGGGTTTGCAGCAATGTTGCTGGGTTGATACTTGCCATTACTACATGCAGTTTAACGAGCAATAGGAAACTATGGAACAGAAATACTCGGTAGCAGACAGCAGTAAAACTAGGATCGCGTAGAATGCTATAACATGGCTAATAAGTGAACATCGGGATTCCCCAAGTCTATTAAGTGTAATGCACCGAAACGGAATGTGGGGAAAGGAAGTACTGCTAGGCCTCATGATGATCACAGGGAAATGGGGTTTAGTATATAGCTAATCGAGACCGTAACTTTTAAGCAATAAATTGAGATAGGAAGATGAAAATTCAACATTGTTGGTTTTAAAGTAGAACAGTAAAAAGTATAGCCAGAATAAAAAAAAACTTTAAAGATCAGTTAGAATGTGCCGTATTCGTTTTCCAAGGATAAAAACCAAGTGTTCAAGCTACACATATTTATTACAGGTGCAACTAAAATGTTTTGCTGCTCTGCTCAAATGTGAACAATTTTTTATTAAAACATTTAGCAAAAATCCAAAGGGTTCGTTAGGATGATAAATATTATTATCATTGTTGTCATTAACAGTATTAGTATTTTAAATTACATTTCTATGGTAGGAGAGAAGCAGTCGTATTAGATGGTTCATTAGATCATTTTTTAACTTTGTTGTCTACATACGATTTAATATTCGTTTCCTAAGCTGTTTGTGTCTAATATCAAACTTACAAAACTTGATTATTCAGACCTTTGTGGTCAGTGGAATAGTTGTATAGGCACAAAGAAATATTGACACTTAAATAATGCTTAGGCAAATGTTTGAATAATAGCTTATCCAAAGAGACGTTAACAAATATTAGTTTAAGAGTAATCGCAAAGAGTAAACATTGAAAATATTAAATAAAATAGGGACCTAAATAGCGTACTAAGTATTTGACAGTTCAAACGGTTTTTACTGATATTTTAATTACTCAAAAACCAGTTTTATTTACGGAATTGTTCAGACGAGAAAAACCTCCTTCCATCAAACATTAATCCGAACTACCAGCACCTGTCACATAACCAATGAAGTAATTAATTACTGTAAACCGAAGCTCATTAACGTTTAAGATCGACTAACATTTATTAATTGGCCTTATGTAGGACGCTGATTTAATGTCAGGCTACGAAATGTGTTCTGATTGCGAGAGGTCAGGTAGGGTCAATAATGACATAACTTGTGTATTGTTGTAATGACATGTACGACCATCAATCAAAGTATGTATTGCGTGCAAGGACAGAGTGACGTTTAACTGAGGGTCACTCGGTGGTGTTGTGAAGTTAAAGTTTTAAGTTACCTGTTAAAACTCACACTGTACACTTGTACAGTATTGTGTTTACAAAAAAATTTATTATTAAATAACTTTTCAAGAAATGAGTTCTGTGAATGGGTAAATGTTTACACTCAGACAAGAGAAGTAATAATTTATGGAAGTACTTTTCTTTTATTTGGCTCACCTTTCCTGATATATTTACTCTTTGTTTATATATAGGTGAACCTAGATCGTAAGGTTCGTTCCGAACCACTGTGTCCACCTAATTATCACATTGCTAAAGATATTTGGTCTTGACCCATTATGGGCCCGGGTAGCTAGGGATACAGTAAATATTATACAGTAGTAATACAATAGTACTAGTCAGTTCAGTGCTATAGTATATTACTAGGCCTGCTACGCTTTACTAAAATACATTTAAATCATAACGAATAACAATAACATATTCTGATAAAAAAATAAACCGATTGAGAAATTAGCAAGACCTAGTTTTTCATTTATTGTAAAACTAATAGCTTTTTTAAATTAATTCTTTTAATGGGACAGCTGCCAATTGCAACCCTTTTTATAACAAATTTGTAGGCACAGCAAAAGATAGAACCGCCAAAAACAACTTATTTACGACCATTGAAACTAAATAGGGTATTACCAATATTTCATGCTTAGGTAAAAATTAACATCTGTTCTCATCGAACAATATATAATATATAAGTTAATAAGTATAAAATTAATGTTCCATACTTTAAAGGATATATTACAAATATCTAGAACAAAGAATCGTAGGTAATTTTATATAGGACACCAATCTCCATATTATTGAAGAACCTATTTTCCGGTCAGGAGTTTACGATGTGTGTATTCAAAAGGTTTAATATGTAGCAGTCATTTAGCATATATTTATTTTTGTCAAAAGATAAATAGTAATACAGTATTGCTAGAGCTATTTAAATCAGCCTTAACACCTTCAAAATTTTAAAAACAATTTTAACAAAAATATTGATAAAATATATGGTTCTTGTGATCAACAATGTTGCATAGTTTAGATAACGGAGTTTATGATAACGTTATAAACATTACGAGAAGATAATTGAAGCAGTTCACTTGTGTAGGACGATTCTTTGTCGTAAATACGAGTGACCCTTTTGTATAAGTGAGTATATAAAAAATACATGATATATTTAATTGTATGAGGAGTGAAATAATTATTATAACATTTAAAAACTCCTAAATGTCAACCAAATGAAAGAGAAATAGATGTTTTCTCCTAGCCTCAAAATCACAACTATATAATTTTAAATGACGAATGTAATTTCAACTGCTTATATTATATTTCTTCTCCAATAAAAGCCCTCAAAGACACCATAAACATTAGTAATTTAATTTAACTAAAACTTGTGCAACATAGAGAGGTTTAGCTAAATTAAGTAATATATGTATTCCAGCTTAAAGCCTATTTTGCCATGATTCATTTTAAGTTATCTATTTCGATATACACATGTCTAATTATTTCTCTTATTATACTTATAATAACAGTCCAGGAATGACGTAACAAAACTGACATAACCTTTTTCAGTGTCGGTGTTTGACCCCTTCAGAATGGTGAAGAGGGGAGATTGGCGGGCTCAGCCCCCTGAGTTTACAGAGAAGATGCCCCATCCTATAGAACTGCTGAGGTATGTGATGAACACGGGAACCCCTAAATGCAACGGTGACCAGGAGTGCATTCCGATGATACAAAAGATTCAGCAGCAACATTTGGAGATGGGGTTTGGAGACATCCGGTATAAGTAAGTATGGTTGTATGATCTTAATTTGTATGTATCTTATATCATATATATAGTTATGCCACCTAATATTTTTTCACATAGCCATTCATTTCACAATTTTATTTTATTTTTTTCTTGTAACTCCATTACATCATTTTTTTTACCTCATCATATCTCCTGTCATTTATTTATTTATTGCATTTGATAAATAATGTATGTTTGGAAGCAACTGCAGTCGACGCACAGGCTCGCTGCCCATGTCGGCTTATTCCCTATTAACATGTACTTTTTTTAACATAGATGTAATGTTATTTAATTTTATTCTTTTAGATTCACTTATGTTTTTGTTCTTCCTTTAAATATTTGTGTACATATTTTGTAAATAATTTGTTGGAATAAAGAAATAATTCATTCATTCATTCATTCATTCATTCATTCAATAACAATTTTCTTCTGATTGATATTCTTACGTAATATATTGTGTTTAGTTGGACCCTGAAGTACGAAAATATTGTAATCGATCTATTCGCTTCCAACCTAGGAGGATTAAATATCCTCTAACATTATGAATTGTATACCAGCACATAACACTGCTTTTAAAGGACTCACAGAATCTCCTACTAAATGACACGATCACGCCACTCAAAATACACTGTCTCTTTTGTATTTTTATATGATATCGTAATTTATCTAATATTTTTGTCACATTTAAACACAATGAAATAAGTGGTTACCCTAAAATATAGGATTCTCATTAGTAAAAATATTTTATTCTTAAGATATATGACTTGTGGTTAAGTACTCATTTGCCTTGTAAATGTGTTATAAACTAAATTTAAAGCTTTCTATGTATTTACCGAACTTTTTCAAAGAAAGTAAGACTTTGAACAAGTTTTCAAATAATTAGAATTTTATAATAAGCATGATATACGCATGTGATGTGGCATTTTTAAATTTATTTTATTTTATTAATTTGTTAGCTATGGCAGTATCGTTTTATGTCACAACAAATCAATCATTTATGCTACGCAGTATTGTAGCATTATTATGTGTATAATAAAGTTACATTTACTAAAATGAAATGTTAAACTATTGAACGAGTACTTAAAAAAATAGGTTTTTAATTTTGCCTTAAACAAAGAAAAAGAAATAATGGTACGATAAATAAGCACAAACATTTCTTCGGAACTGGTACATTGTTTGGGTAAATACAAAGTAAGTACAAGACAAAGCATTATAGCTGTGTCGTAGTTGATCGTTGGTGGAACTGGAATCCTAAACTAAAAAGGTATTATGTTATCTTAAACCTTTTAAAGGATAGTTATAGTCAAATATATTGTTGTCAAAACTACCTCAATTGCTCTGACTAGTGGCATACAGGACTGTAATAACCAATACTTGAACACACTCTGAAAAAAATACAAATTACATTACTCGTATTTTCACAACTCAAAATTTATCGTTTGGTAATAGGTGTTACTTTTATGTGTTCCTTTTTAGGAGCTATTGCTGATAGAATGGTGTCACCGTTGCAGCTTCATGCTGGGTGATGACGGAACTATTTACGAGGGGAGAGGATGGAAATGTAAACCTCCCGTAGATCCAGCGTACGCCGACAAAGATGGGAAGTTCGTAGAGATTGCGTTCATAGGCGATTATAGAAGTAAGTATTAGAACTTTAAAAAGTAGCATGTAGATTTTGTTAAAAGACCTTCGCTGCAAAAAGTTATAATGTAGGCATCTATAAATTTTTACTCAATATTTCTTACATTTACGTATCGTAAGACAGGTACCAGGATTAGTTTGGTCGAATTTGAGATTTGAGTTATATTATTGCACCTGGGAACACTGATTTGAGATGATAAATTCTATTCTTTACATCTTTTGAGACATTTAACTTTGCAATGCATAAAACATTTATATGAAACAAGTCTCCTATTTACCAGAATTTTGCATTCTCAGTGGTCTTTTAACACTCCTAAAAGATACTGGCTTAAGTTAAATAAAACATTTGGACCTTTGACAAGAAGTAAAACAGTAAACTATTTGACATTAAACAAAAACTCTCTTGCATAGTAGTTAATGTGATCATACCTGAAAATGATTTAGCCTAAAAGTCATTTTGATTTCACACTATCCATTATACAGATCCGGGAGAGCGAGCTGGTCTAGTGGTTAGAGCGCGGGACTCCGGTTCCTAGGGTCCTGGGTTCAAATCCCGCCGAATCACCAATGGATTTAATCTAAGTGATAATGCCCTAGGTCTAGCCTGAAGTAATGTGAAAAACGACTCTGGGCTCGTGCCTAGCGTTCTAGGACAAACAAAATTATACCGATCCAAATCCATTCAGTGATGTTTAGCCTATACATTTTTAAGAATTCAAAGCCAATCGAATGACGTTTTATCAGTTACTGTTTTACAACGTTCAAAATATTTAGTGATCGATTTGAGGACATAATATTACAATTTTTTTCCAAAATGATAACATTGCAGGAGATATAGTAAGTGCAAAGTGGCTACAAGGACCAATGTACAACGCCCAGTGGGAGCTGTTGTATTACGCCGATTCCAAGAACTACCTGCATAAGGACTACGACTACATAATGGAGGATGACCGAGAACCTAGACCAAGGCCCATCCAACAACCTGGCAGTAGGAAAAAAGCGCAAAAGCAACAGAAAACAATAAATGCGAAAGAAAATGTAACACTATAAGAAACTAGTGTAGTTTTTTTATTGTATGTTTCACTTACTGATATACAGTTTACAACTTAACATTCCAACAGTAACCCTTTGCTTAGGAAAAGTTATCCAAAGTGTAGGAGTCATAAATTATTGGTTAAACTGATTCACTAACATAGCTTCTACTTCAAACAAAATATGTGTATTGTAGTTTTATTCATACACCAATTTAATGTTCCGCATTTAAAAAGAGAGTTTTTTTTTTGTAAATTTTAAACCCAATTCATGTCTACTGAACAGTCTGTAAGCAAAAGCTTATGGAGGAAGCATGATTTTTGTAGCAGCACAATCTGTAAAGGTGCGTCAACTAATTTCTTTCTAATCTTCTACCATTCATGCATGAGTTGTCTACATTTCTACCAGTGAAATTATGTAGAGGCCTCTTACAGAATATTTTTTTCGTTACCACATTTTTGTCTCGCTACCACACCAATTATGTCTAATGAAGTAGCTAATTTTAATTATTTAATAACAAGTTTATTACTTTATATGCTTTGTACTTTGTTTTGAATAAATGCTCACATACGAACTTTCATATAAAAATTACTCCTACCTATTCCAATCCTTATTATGGAACAGATACAATCATTTGTGTATTTTAAAAACAAACGAAATTGATTGTGGTATTATTGCCAAATATTAATTAACCCCCATATGTCACCAATCTCTGCAGGGCTGTACGCAAATCTTTCTTCCCAATCAAGAATCTACAACGTCCTCCTCTTTAACACAATTTTCCGTCTAATTTAACGTTTTTAATCTCACTACCTGACCATAAAATATTACAAAGACTATTCAAATATGAGGTATGAAAATTGATTCAGTTTAAAACTTACGTTCACCTATTTCAAAATAACCTCCTGAAGTAGTCTAAGACTTACAAGCAACTCGTTCCTTGATCCTTAATCCTTTTTGACATCTAGTATGTAAATCTGTGGGTTGACAACACGACATGTTAATTAGTGTTTGGTCAAGCTGGGGGCGACTGTCACATATGCTCGGCTTCTGATTGACAAGGATAGAGTCAGGACATTCAGGATAATCCTGACAAGGTCGTGTCATGCAGGACATGTTGAGAGAATGCAAATTTTAAAACATCAAAATTTTCACATATTTAAAACTTTATGTATCTATTAATTAGTCAAAATGTACTTAGGTAGAAAACAAATTTTAAGAATGGTTCAGTTAACTAACAGCCAAACATAAAAAATGTAAAACATTTGATTTGTATCCCTTTTCAAATGGCTTAAGCCCAATGCGCTAAACCAATGAATGCCTACTTTAGTGTAAGTGTAGTGTTCTTCATTTTAACTCTCATCTACGTTGTTGAAACCCATTCTCCCTAATAATATGTATTAATATGTATGGGAGCGAGCTGGCGTAGTGGTTAGAGCGCGGGACTTCAGTCCCTGAGGTCCCGGGTTCGATCCCCGCCAAGTCACCAATGGATTTATCTAAGTGATAATGCCGCAACCCCTAGGTCTAGCCTGAAGTAATGTGAAAAACAATCCCAGGCTCGTGTCTAGCGTCCTAGGATAAAAAAAAAATAAATAAATAAATAATAATATGTATTATAGGAAGGTGCTCTCATTTTAAGACATGATCGTTAATATATACTGTATTTTGCAAAACATTTATAAGAAATCTTAGTATTAAAAGGTTTGACTCTGCTGATATAATCTATTTAACTCGCTTAGGTATATTTTGCAAAGCCTTGGTTAACTCTGCAGTCTTAGTGTCTAAAATGTTGTTTTGAGTAATCAATAATAAATAAATTATAACCAATTATAGCTTGTTTCAGTTGGTGTGAACTTGTAACCTTTGAATTAATTAAATCATCGCACCATGTCTACTACCTTGTTGTCTAGTACTTTACTGACGTATTGGCTCATTTCCTTTTTCAATTGACAATGGAGCAATATTAATGCTTTTGAAATTGCACTATATAGGTATAATAAATATAATTATGTAAATTTATGACTGTAATTAATCAATCAATCGAAGTATGTTTTTGTCAATTTATAATTAGAAACTATCACAACGATTCTTTGTTTGGAGTTTATCATTAGTGACTGTTTACGCTTATATTAATGTTATTGAGAAATATGACCAAGTAATTATCTAGAAAGAACTTAAAAATTACAAGAAATCGTACTCGAACCGGGCATCACCGGGATTACGTGAAAATACAGAATGAAATTACAAATTCCTAAACGTTCCAGGTCTATCTACCAGAGGTAGATACAATTTACGAATATCACGTTTTGACAATTTCATAAACTGTAATAGCAGGAAACCCCTTAAAAGCCTATTTAAATTAGCCCTCTAAGACGCATTCAGTTCAATACCTAACGAACTATCCTAGTTACAAAAACACCTGCTCATTCCCGAGAATAGTCGTGAGTAGTAAATGATTCCCTTATCGACTCGGATCTGCGCAAATCATTGACACGTCTGTTACGGACACCTTGCAATTACTCGGTAAAAACTGGCCTGGTCGAAGCTATTGCTCCTTTCAACGTCAGGCGTGCATATCGCCTATAAAGCTTTCTAATCGGTCAGTTCCCCAGGCGTCCGCTAGTAGCGCTGCTCCCACTATCTCTAATTGGCCACGTAAATCACATTAAGGGTGCGATTAATTTGGACTCATTACTAGACATAAAATTAACATAACACTTGCCGATAACGTTCATAATTTTGCGGTAATTATGGTGATTTTATCTGATTTTAAACCGTTTCTGATTGGTTCCTTCCGCACCGTGATGTCATCATTGAGCAGTGTTAGGTTAGATTGGTCCAGATGAAAATGATTATTGAGTGTATTCAATGTGATGAAATAAGTGTCGTGTTAACAGCTTTGAAAAGAATTTGGTTTGGTTGGACTTTGTTCTAAAATTTACTAAATTCTAGGTCTAATCATTTTCAAATTAGTATTGTTTCTCCTATATGACTGATGAGAAATGTAACTAGGATATTTATATATTTAATACAGCAATTTGTAAGTCACTGTTCAACTACATAACTGTTACAGTATTACCGTTGAAAAGATGGGCGGTCTTTAAAAGATTGAATAAGACGTTCTTTTGACGAGAGTGTACAAAGGAGCTTCCCTTAATATTCCCTAATTGACCTTGATTGCGTTACGCTCAATACATTTATTTTCGCATGGAGAAATATATGAAATTGAATAGTCCTTTTTGACTAGTCCTGAGTTAGGGTTATAGTGTGAATCTTTCGACTTCGTGGAAAGGTCAAAAACTACTTTTAAACGTCAGATTCGACATAAAAAATGGGTACCCTTGTCCAAACCCAATATACAAACCAGAACTACCTTTTTATTGGATAACCACCACAGAGTTTTATAGCAACCACTACAAAACAAGATTCGTCTAATAATGTAGGGCCCACATAGTTCAGGTAACTGGTCCATTTACTGTGACTGATCCAAATAATTAAAAGATCCGGTCTTAAATTATTAAAATAATAAATACTGCTCCTCAATATATATTTTAGTCATTCATACGCCGAAATACAGGAAAAAATTAAGAAATTTTGCAAATGAATGTAGTTAAAGTTTAATTATACGTACAGGAAGTTCATTGTAGTTGAAAACGTCAAACTGAGATCAATTGTGATTTGCAATCAGTTTGTTATTAATTGATTAGATCTCTTCTGACCTTCATCATATTGAAGGCTACAGAGTGTGATATTTCAATAATAATTTATATCATCTAGTGGGCGAACCTGACCTCGCAACATTGTCGAATGCAGTTTTACCCTAAGAAGTGTAATATGGAGACCAGATATATTAGTTATTGAGATTTGTATTATGCAAATAAAAGATAGGCCTACTGGTTGTTAATGAAAATAATCTGTTTCGTATAAAAGGATTCATTAACATTATGTTACCAGATTTGTCACATCTGAGTGTTTAATAGTTTCGGAAAAATATTTATTGCTACTACACTTATTTAAGATAACTTATATAATTATGGAACGATGAATACCAATTATCCAAAACATTATTTCATTACTTGGATGTACATATTTATGTTTGTATATGGTTAGAGAGAAAAAGTTAATAGCTTGTAAAATACCACAAAACCATCTCTTTTAGTCTTTTTTGGTGGTGAGGATGGGCTCTTGTACCTATTAAAAAAATACAGTTGCCTACTTAAACTTTAATCTTAAAAGCTTAAACAGTTCTACTGGTAAATATGATAATATTTTTTTTTTATAAAGTAGTTACTTTATTTTAGGAAACATTTAAATTTAGTACTTGGATAAGAAAGATTTTAAAAGTTTCTGATTCATACGTAAGAAGCAGCGTATAGTTTTCTTTTTTCTTAAAACTACTTTTTTCATTATAAAGGAATACTTTTTAATATTTAATAATGTCGTGTGTTTTACATAATTAATTTTTAACATCATAAGAAATGTCAAATTGATTGGATTTATTGAATTTGGCTCTAAAAAAATACGATAATGATCTTGGTTAAATCTTATAAACAACTGCTACCTTTCTTTATACCCTTATCTGTAATTTAAATAATGAATTGTTTATAACGGAAGAAGGCTAAGTTTACCATACAATAGTTCGGTCTTAAGCCAAAGGGGACATATAATGTGAATAAATAAATATAGTGTACTCATAAAGTGAATAATCTATTATAATTAATTGTATATTACATTATATCTATTAATATACAGTATAATATACAGAATAACAAGGAATTTTGTGTAAGTGACAAGCAACACGATGAGTTTATAAAACGCTCTAGTTTATTTTTAATATGTCATAGCTACGCTAATTTAATTAAAGCCTACTGGCCATTATTCTGACCAAGAATGTCTGGTTTTAAACACATTATGTTATCCCACGCACTAATTAGTTAATCTGGCTATTATTTTCTTTATAATTCGATGCCGCTCTTTGGATCAATTGATAATTTAAAGTCCACCCCCGGAGTCGATTAGGATAATGTGCTAAGTGTGTGTAGGCTTTTAATGTCTCCTATTTATTCCCACA